AATATTTGTTTTTTTTTCTCGTTCATATACAGGGTGTCCGGTAAAGATTGTGCCAACGCTCGTGAGCGGGTAGAGCACAGTAAACTGAACAACAAAGTCCTGTAACATTTTTTTCTATAACGCTTAATAAAGGAGTTATTATTGACTAAAGTCTGCCAATCAGCGTCGACCTTTAGCCGTGCGCCTGGTAGTGTGCATGAGTGCTCCGTCGCTACGACGGCGCACACTATCAGGCGGGCAGCTCACCGACGTGCGTCCGGCTAAAAGTCGGCGCTGATTGACCAGACTTTACTCAATAATAACTCCTTTATTAAGCGTTATATAAAAAAATGTTACAGGACTTTTCTGTTCAGTTTACTGTGCTCTAGCCGCTCACGAGCGTTGGCACAATCTTTACCAGACACCCTGTATATATATATAATAAATCAATATATGTATATAATGTATTGATTTATTATAACACACATTTGTATATAACAGGCACAATTGGATTATGAAAGTATATACAGAAGAAATAGGCAACGTGGAATAGAAGGTTCTCCAGTGCCATTTGCAGCAGCTATCAGCAATCATGGTAGGGATAAAAATTGCAATGCCACGATACCAACGACCGATAACACGCATCAACAGGTCGCACAGCAGACTATGCCACCTCTACCAACACAAGGTTTATATATAATTTATTTATATTGCAATAGTTATCTTCTATCACAGTAATTATTACTCATCGCGCTCTTATCAGGATCGCCCAAAAAACGACGCGCCGTGTCGATGGCAGTAGAATCTCAAATTCCCGCACCAATAGAGAAACAGGTAGATAATGAAGGAGATGCATTGATGGCTTCCGCACGTTCCGCATCCGACGTTCCTCGACTTAAAACTGTGACGAATGCAACAGCACCGCTTAGAAAATCGGCAAGTGGTGCTACATTGCCTGCAACGCTTGCACGTTTGCGTATCGCCACTCCTGAAGGAACATCCGCCGAATTACCAAGTCCTCGCATACAAACAGAAGTCGACGCTTCCTATTGCTCTTATGATGTAACTAATACTAAATACATTGGAAATCAGAGTCCGGTAAATATATCCTGTAATCATCATCCGATATAATAAATTCATGCATTGCACTACAGCTACTGACATTTCTCCGAACGATTATATATATATACTTGAACGTTTTTAGGTAACTGAACAAAGAGAACCTCTCAGAAGAGAACCCAGAAGAAGAGCAGAAAACCGACAACAAGTAAGAGCCGGGCGTTCGGCAGTACGAGATTGCTCTATTACACAATTTGCACAAATAGACGACGACAATGTATCCGCCCTGCAGCAAGTGACCAAAGGCGGCGGAGGATTGACTCTGGCTTCGCAATGGAAATCACAATTTGACGATTCTGAAGAGACTGATAACGAATGGAAGGGGGAAAATTTACAAAGCCCTGAACACAAAGGGATAAACGCCCCATCTATACCGCCACAGGTAAAAAAATCCCTATTTGTTGTGATAGAAAGATTAATAAATTGCGAACGAAAGCGTAATAAATGTGCTATGAAAATGCTAGAACATGTGAACTTTCAACGAGTCTATAAATAATCTAAAACATGCAGTCCACAGATATCGTCGAAAGTGTACAATTGGATACAAAACCTGTCGCGGCTCAATCAAATGCCTCGATGTGTCAACAATCTTTGATTCCCACAGCATTATCTAAAATAAGCGAAGATTCCCCGAAACCAGCAGCGCCGCACAGATGTTTAAACATTGCGGGTATTGAAAAATATCCAGAACTTCAAGGTGCACTTCCGCGAGCTTGGAGCGTTCCAGCTTTAGCGTCGCATGTTCGGGCTTATCTCGAAGCTCCATTGGTTCGTACCACACACATACATACATACATATTCTATATGATACATCATTGTGACAGCTTTTACATAAATGTATCTTAATTTCAATGTGCAAATAGGTTCAACAAGCAGCATTTGACGATTTGCTATATGAAGTTGATGTTATGAGGAATATAGCTACCCGATATGACGAGCCGAAACAGACTGCGTCAGTCAGAAGAACTAGTCTACCAACAGTAGCTTTCTCTCTTTCTGACACAATGTTCAACACTCACAAAGGGGAAGAAGAGGAAGAAGCAGTAGCAGGAAGATTGGAAATCAGAGTGGTGGATGCAACTGGCGGTGCTACAATTGTACAAACCAGTGCTGACAGGGAACCATTACAAAGTATGTATAACCAATCGTACTTTCTCACAAATTTTTTATTGCTATATATCGATTAGTGAATCAGCATGTTTATCAATGTCACTTTGCACTTATAGATATGCTTTACCTGAATTTGTAGAAAAATTAGCGAACGGTATGGCAGGTAGCCCAGCTAGTCCTAATCCGGGACCGGAAGAACCATCGATATATTACGACGCTACCGAGAATCGACCAACTGCAAATGTCAGTTTGCAAAAAGAATCGACTAGCGTCACTACTGCCTCGACCACTGTACAAAATGCAGTGCCGCTTCGTGATAATAAGGACAATAAAGAGAAGGAAACATCTAATAGGACGTATATCGCTCACAGTAAAATACCGATTCCCGTTAAGAGTCCAAGATGTTCGTTATCTGAATCAACACCCGAAACTAATACTCCGAATATCAAGGCGGGAACTGGAAGTGACATAGAAAAACTATCGGTGCCTATGACCGCAACTAAGGAAAAAGAAAATAGTTAGTAAAATTATTATGATATAACAGATTTATTATATTAGAAACAAATTCTTATATGATACGTCGATACGATATTTATAGCTGTATTTATGATTGTCTATAATATGTATAGATTGTGATAAAAATTGGCATGTATATCGTTTTTAAAAGTCATTTTTAAAAGTATACAGTAAGCAATATTTTAGTGGATACTCGTTGAAAAAGCGATACTTTAAATGCTTTAATTTATTATGTAGGAGTTTTTGTTTTCAAAAATTTTAAAGATTATTTTTATTTACATGATTATATCATTGTTATCTTTAAAGGAAAGATTTTGTGAAATATTAATATGTATATATCCTCACAGAAAGCAACAAAAGAGTTTGTTGTGTCCTAAGACAGGATTTTATCTAGATACAATAATCATGGTAGAAAATAATTTTTCAAACATTACTTTCTGCAATGTTTCCAAAAACGTTTGTTTTATATCAGTTGGATTTCCAAATTTTTTCATGTTATAACATTCTCTTTCGGAACAAGAATATTAATCTCTCATAACTGTACAAAATAATATGTAACAATGCTATGCACAAATATTATATAACAATAAAACATACACGAATTTTCAATATCCCAAAAAAGGATTCAAGGATTTATCTATAATTTAAAGGATTCATCTATAATACAGAATATTTTTGAACAACAAAATGAAATCACAGCTTTTATCAAAAGTTTATAATTTATATTTAAAAAAAGATGAGACACACTATCCTTATACATGTGAAATATATTAAATAATATGTATAGTTTCTCGCGCGCCATACTAATGTTCGCAAATTTTAGCAGTCAGAAATAAACTATTGACAGCATATATGGAAGCACCAGCATATTTCCATCGCATGCCATTATCTGACGCTAGACCAATCATATCATCTTTAACTTCAGCCAGTTCTGCCGAAGATGAAAATTTAACCGGATGCACGCCTGCTCTGCGCCGCCGAAGACAGAGTGAAAAGTATGTGACAGACGCTAGTCAGCTGAATCTGCAATTCCAAAGACCACAACATAGAACTAGACCACAATCTGAGGTATTGCCAAGACTTTCTCCCAGAGGAGTACCCTCGCATCTTTTACGGGAACCAGATAAAAAGTCCGAGGAAAGCAGTGAAAGTGATTCTAACAGCAGCGGACCGCCAAAATCCGCTCAACCACCACCACCGCCTACATCATTGCCACCTCATATAGCAGAAAATAATGCTAGGTATGATTGTTACAAATATGTATATCTCTCTGATCTGTATAATCTATATAGCAGGGTGTCTACTCCCTGAAAAGATATGGGATTTTCAATAATTTCTTTTGTATTTGGAAAAATCAGGGAGTTCTCATGAAATTTTATTGGGACTCAGGATATTTTTTTTTTTAAATTCTCTGATAATTTTGCTCTTAAATGTAAGCAGTCGGTAATCCACCGATAAGCCAAGTTGTGAATTATGTGTTTAAAATATATTATAAATATATATCTATCTATGTTTATACATTTTCAATATCTTAACAAAATATTGGATACATAGTACATATGCTTTAAATTCCATATATATAGCACATATATAGCACATATGCTTAATTTCCAATGATAGAAAAATGAAAATATTATGTAAGTGAAAAATGTTCGTCTTACGAAAGTTATTCAATTTTTTTCAGTATATTTGCAATTCTAATATTTGAAACTTAAGTGGCTCTGTATCTTTCCTTATGAGAGAAAAGCATTAGAAAACGGATACAATAAAAAAAAAACTTATTTTAGAAAGTTGCACCAAAATATCTTTAAAATATTCTCTTTACGTGGAATTTTGACTAAAAATACCTGAAAGATTAGGGAATTTTCAGGAATTTTTTTACAACATTTGAATAGACACCCTGATATAGTCAAAAGTTTGACATATATTATTTCCTCAGTTTGAAGCACTAAATTCTACATCACTTCCTAAAAACAAAATGATGTAACGATATATACGTAATCTTCTTTTTTTTATCTATAAATGAAAATTTTCTGTAATTATAGATGCCGCCGTTATTGGCCCATACCAGATCCAACAATTGCTAGCAGAGAATCGTGAGATTTGATATTCAAAATGACAAATAGTCTCAGTTTGTGTTAGGATTGAGGAGATTTTACTGCTCAACCAACTAAGAATGTGATATCACTTGAGGCAACGGAAATGCGCGATCTTTCTCCGATTAATACGTCATCGGGTACATAAAAATTTTTGCGAAAATTTATATCTGCATATCTACAGAGATAAAAAACATTAGCTATTCATTTAATATGTGAAAATGTAGTTGTCTGTGAATTCAGATTAATTGATAATGCTGCTTTAATTAACTACTGAAGTTCTTGAGCGGATTTTTCAAATAAAAAAATCTTTCTATCAATAATCGATTTTGGAACACACGCTCAATAAGTTTCAGTAAATTGAATAAAAGTATATGTGAGATTGCTTACAATGTACAAACAGTACAACAATCTAGTGATTTAAATAGTCACTTTTTAAGAACTATACTTTTTCTTTAGTTATACACTTGCCGCAGTTTATGTTACAGTACCAACATGTCCATCCAGTATCTTTAAATTTATATGATTTATACATTTTCTGTTTGTGTGTATGCGTGCGTGCGTGCATGTGTGTGTGTATGTGTTTGTGTGTAAATGGATTTTACATAATTTTGTTCCTGCTTATTGTACATACATATTACCAGAACTCGATGCTTTTATCTGAATTTTCTTTGCGCAGAAATATGTCGAATGCACTTATATCTACATAACTTTTACCTATATTAAAATTTTCTAGACAAGTTTTATAAGATTTATAATTTTATTCTAATGTGTGTGTGTGTGAGAGATAATCACAAAAAATAGCATAACATTTTTGTGTTATAATGATACAATTATTATGACAACTACATTATACATTAAAATATATTTTATTTGTTAATAATACGAATAATTTATTTCAAAAAAGAATGAATGATAATGATAATTTCATTTAAATTTTACTCACACAACACACACAAGTGATGCATAAGTATGCTTTAAATTATTAATAATTTAGAATTGCTACTTGCAATGAACAAAAATCATATGAATATGTCACATGTTTTAAAGATAATATAAAAAAGTATATGAATAATAGATATTATTTAGCGTTGCAGAAGAAAAAGAGGAGTTTAATGTGTGAAGAAGACACAGCTCTAGCATAATTATCAAATTCGGGCCAGATATACTAGTCTCCTTAATAATCCATTATTAAGGTCAACAAAATGAAATTTTCGCATATATATATATATGCAGGATCTTCCATTAAGATTTTTTTAAGATTTCTTGGCAACTTGGAATAAAGCTTTCCTTCTTGAAGATGTCAAGAAAAATCGTTTATTAAAACTTTTCAATTTTTGCATTATATATTTTTATTATTCAGCCTTAAATCTAAATTTCACATTTAAAATTAAATAAAAAATATAGGTTTGTTATCCATTTGGCCTCCGTTGGAATTTAATTTATCAAAAATTCTGTGTTCTTTTTCAATCGTTTATAACTTGAAAATTATTGGTGACCACATTTCAAAAAAAAAATCGACTCCAAATTAGTTGAAGAATCTTTCATTGAAAGAACTTCCGCTTCTGGAATATCCTGTTAATACATATATGTATGTGTGTGTGTATGTGCGCGCACATGCGCATTTCGTCCATGCATCTATATATGTATGTATACATATACATGTTCTCAGCTTTATTCTACTATATTTCATTTATAGATTTTAGGCACTGCATTTTTCTTTTCCCTTCACGAAAATTTTACGACAATCTTTAATGAACTATAAATAATTAAAAAATCAATTTTTTTGCAATCTTACTTTAAAAGTAAAAGTATAAACATACAATAATGCTGTGTTTACTACAAATAAATATAATCGCTCAATACAATCTTAATTTAAAGATTAAAAATATTTGAATTTATTACTATATAAATATATGTACATACACATTTACATACAAAATTATATAT